TGTTTCAACATCTCCAATTGCTATGTACCACGTTCTGGATGAGGAATATAAATGCCTTGCTCATAATTTCTTTGAGTATGTAAAAAAACCATTGCGCTCGGCTCTGGTGGTCAGATTCGAGGAACACCGCTTCTACGCAGATACAGTTAAGCAGGAGAAATAATTGGTCAACGCACGGGCTGCCCGTGGGGAGATGCGTTTTTTGCATAGTTCCCGCAGTTTTTGTCGCTACCGGCATCGGTTTTTTCAGCAAATCCTTCTAGCTAAACAAATTAAGACTGGTCGCCAGAACAGACAGGAAACACCCACTTAAAATTTCAGCTCCCTAGCATTCCTGGCTCCTGAGTTAGCAACTTACTGGAAAAAACTTTCACGGGTCCGCAAGCGGGTACCGCGCGTACCCGATGTCTGGGTTTGAGCTCGTTGGGACTTACTTGGACAGGGGACATCTTAAAACTACAGCCTTTTAGCTTTTCAGGTTCTCGAATTAGCAACTTACCCAAAAAAACTTTGGTGAACCCGTGCGTAGGTACCACGCTTACCCGGGGGCCGGGTTTGAGCTCACTAATACCTACTTGGACGGGGAACATCCCCTTGGAATTTCAGCCTCCCAGCTTTTCTGGTTCCCGAGTTAGCAGCTCACCCGTAAAAAAATTTGGGGGGCTCGTACGTGGGTACCACGCGCGTAAGGTCGCTCATTTTGGGGATGGGGCCATACATGCATGTAAATTAAGTTCCTGAAATTTCAGCCCCGTAGCTCTTGTAGTTCTCGAGATGAAAAATCGTTACAGACGAACACACCGACACACACTGACACACACACACACACACACACACATACACACAAACACACACAGAGGCAACCCCTCGTCAATATGCGTTTTCTGCATTGCATAGCTGCAAAAAACCCATAAGAACTGGAAATTTGGATTACTTCTTTTTAGACCTATTTGCCGGGAGCTTAACGATGGCCTTGAGAGATGCGCTGCAAGAGGTAGAGGCTATAGTCCCACGCGCTATCTTCCTTTTTAATATCAAAGTTCGTGAGCTCTAAGATACACAAGAATGCCTGACAAATACATAAGAACGTCTGATAAAAATACGCAAGTTTTTTGGCAGGAAGCGGCAAGCGTAGGAAGCTGGATATTTGCAGAGATATTTTTTACTTGTGAGCTGAAGATTTTAAATTCAGCTACTGCAGCGCTGGTAACACCATACAACCATGACAGAGTTCACTGTTGTGACCATACCGATTCGAAAACTAGTCGGAATACAGTAGCTATAACTTTGCCAGAATATTTGTCGTCCATCTGAGGAGTCGAAAACCTAAAAGGCTATAGGATTGCACTGCGCCAGATCGAGGGCATTTTTAAAATATTTGCAGCGAAATAACAGTTTTGAGCGCCGGACAAGCTGCAAAGTTGAAATTTTTCAAGGATATTTTATATTTATTTGTGATTTTAATTCAGTCCCTCCCCTTTTAACATCCTATCCACTGTTTCAGTGAACAATTGGCCACCCGAAATTATTTTTTTCCCTTCATGCAAAAAATACGATGATCATGTATGCTGGGGCCGAAATTTAACGCGGCTCCTTGGTTGCAACAATACCATTCCATCCGACGCCCTTCCTCCCCTGCATGCAAGAAAAGGCGGAAATATGCCCCACAACATTCCAAGTGTTAAGCTGTAAAGCAGCAACCATTAACAATGATAACAATTTGACTGTTTCAAATTTAGCTCATCGGCAAGCCTGGTGTGTGGCTACCTGGGTTGCATTCCTGGTATATTTGTCTGTAAAAATGTACGTATGCATATATGCAAAGAATACCGTAGCATTTACCTCTCAGGGGGACCGCTTCTCCATTATCGATAATTCTGATTAGAGCGAAGTTTTAAAAATGGATGGAAATTACTTTTAGAGAAATACGAGACAAATATGTACGATAGTGGCAACAGTGGCAGCAGCGGCCGCAATTGCAGCATTTGCTTACTATTATTATAAGGAGGGAAAATGTCCATTTGCGAAATTTTTCCGTGAGCCGCCCCCTCCTGAACGTGTAAGTGTTCCTTTTTTAATCTACAGCTTCTTTACTTTGCCGCTTCGTGCGCTTAATTTGCTTCCTCGAAACGCCCGGTTTTTTCAAGCGATCAGATACTGTAGGAATATTGAGTTGACAAAAACTTCAACACTGTTGCATTGTGCATAGAAAAGCCTTATTCTGCTGAATCGCCAAAATTTTAGTTTTTATCAGTCCCATATTTTTGATTTCTTGACAGATAGCAAACAGATTCTTTTTTTTTTATTTTGGCATTTTTGCAGAACAAACAGGACGGGCAGAGTGAGAATTCGAAAAACCAGCCAGATGCGGGAGCTAGAAGTGAAAATGAGTCAGAATCAGGAAAATCCGGGTCAGATTCAAGAAAGACTGAGTCGCATTCAAGAAAGACTGAGTCGGATTCAGGAAAAACTGAGTCAGAATCAGGAAAAAGTGGATCAGATTCAAGAAATGTGAGCGAGGGAGAAAATTTTGAGAACAGGTGGGTCCAAAATTTGCTATAACAAAGTTATTTTCGGATTTTTTCCTGCTTTGTTTCTTCCTCTCTCTTTTCTAGTAATGAGTTTTTGTAGGGACACGCTAAAAAACAAAAAAAGAAAGAGAAAGAAACTGAAAATAAGCAGGACAGTGGCTGATCGCATGAAGAAACCGAGCAAATGAATTTATTCATGTCCAGTTATCGTTTCGTACTCAAGTTTTCCGTCAGTTTGTTGCCAATAAAAGATCGGAGAAGCTACCGGCTTTTGATGCGATTCAATAGTGAACTGAATGAAGATATGGCAGAGGTACCTGCATTTCAGCAGCTGTTAATCTTTTAGAAATGAAGCAGTGCGGAGGATACTTGTCAAAGCCCCGAAGCTTCGTCGTCATTTCAAAGTAATCTGTGAACTGAGAATTGTCGAAGTCCATTTCACACCACAATAAATTATTGCCTTCACAAAACTTTGTGAGCTGAATTTGAAAAATAAAGACTCCCTCCTAATTTTGCTGCTACAGGAAATAAAATTATTTGCGCAAACAGCATGATTCATTCTTGCCAACAGACAGCAAAAAGAGTTGAGAAAACGTAACTGATCGCAAGTTGAAAGTACGCAGTGCTCATGTGAATATCACTGGCAGTGTGTACGAGGCAGGCCCATACGATTATACGTTTTTGCAGTGTTTCGTGCTGTAGTAAGATCGCTTGGAATCTCAGTAGTTGGAATTTGTGACATACAGGTCCTCGAAGTTCAGGAGTCTAATTGTGTAACTACATGGCATTTAGATAGGAAACATCCATCCCCCTCTCTCCACCCCCTTCCTCCACAAAAAAAATTCAGCCTTCTAGCTTTTTTGATTTCCGAGGTAACAGTTTATCTGCCAAAAATTTTAACGGCCCGTACGTAGCTGGGGATTGAATTTGAAATCTTTCAGTTCTATATTGTCGAGAAACATCCTCTTAAAACTTTTGCTTTCCAGCTTTTCTGCTTCCCAGGCTATCAGCTTCTCAAAAATTTCCGCGGGCCCGTGCATGAGAGCCACGCAAACCCGGGGAAGTGAATTTGAAATTTTTAAGTTCTACATGGACGAGGAACATTCCTTTAAAATTTTAGTTTTCCCGCTTTTCTGTCTTCCGAACTAGTGATTTTCCTGCCAAAACTTTCACATGCTCGCATACGGGGTCCGGACGTCTGTGAAGGTTGGTGCCGCGGGCCTGGGTACCACTTGGCCAGGAAACCCAGAGGCAACATTTTAGCGCCGAAGCTCGCTTGGTTGTCGAGTTGAAATACCCGGACAGGCATGCACACACACACACACACACGCACACACACACGCACATACACGCTCACACACATACGCACATACACATACACACACATACGCACATACACATACACACACATCACTGGTCGTCACAATATGCGAGTTTTTGCATTTGCATTTGCATTTGCGTTTATGCAAAAATGCATAACCAGTAGAATAGCATCGCCAAGACTACAGGTGCAAGGATCTGATAAACTAACATATTACTGAAATGCGTCCACATTTTAACCCCAAGAAAGAGAACAAAAACATTCAGGCGATTTCCAAAGAGAAGACGCACTTATGTTATACTTGTGATGTGTACTAACTGGAGGCATGCGGCCTAGATTGAAAGGCTTGGCGTATCTGTGCCCAGCGTGAGAAAGCATCCTAGTAATATCAATAACACTCTCCATACTGACAGCCTGGGCAGTCTTTATATTCTTAGTATATATCGCTCGGATGGGATACGATTTGATTACCCCCACT